GGGGGGGGTCAGAGCCATTTTAGGGGGGGCGGTTAGAGCCAATTAAAGGGTGGGCAGAGCCATTTGGGGGGGGCGTTAGAGCCATTCCGGGGGACAGAGGATCCCAGAGTGCAGACAGACCATGCCCTGGAGAAGGGGAAGAGAGGGGTTGATTCGTTTTGGGGAGCAGAGGAGCCAATCTGGGAAGCAGAGTAGCCTGGAGTGCAAAGAGATCATGCCCTGGAGAAGGGAAAAGAGTGGGGTAGAGCCATTTTGGGGGAGGTTAGAGCTATTTTGGGGGGAGGTTAGAGCCATCTGGGGGGAGGTCAGAGCCATCTGGGGGGAGGTCAGAGCCCCCAGAAGCCGGGAAGGGTCAGGTTTTACCTCACAGATCTGCTGGGCGAAGAGCAGGATGTGTGCCAGGCTGACGTTGTGCTTGGGCAGGTAGTCTCGCAGGCTGCCGAGGGGCACGTACTCCATGATCAGCTGCACAATCTTCTCTCCTGGAAGAGGAGGAGGATGGTGATGTGTGAACCTCGTGGGGAGAGGGGAACAACCCAGAGACACCCCAAACCTCAGCGCTCTGCCAGGAAGGGGATCAAAAAACTCAGGGAATTGTTTTTTTAGCAGCAGCAACAGCACTGGGGCGCAGGACAACACAAGCTCAGGCTCTGCTGTTTGTGTTGAACTGTGACAACGTGGAAAAAAATGGGACGGGGAAGAGCCAGTGATCCCCCACCGGCTGCCACCAAAGCCACCAGGCATCCCCCCGGCTGCTCACCCTGCTCGCTGCAGCATCCCTTGTACTTGACGATGTTTTCGTGATAAAGCGTCTTGAGGATCTCAATCTCCCTCTTCCAGCTGGTCAGCAGCTGCTGGCTGCAGCCAGATTTGAGGGATTTGACGGCCACCATTTCCCCCGTCCCATCGTTGGTGGGGTCGTAGCAATACAGGCTCACCTTGCCGAAGTGACCCTGGCAAGGAGAAGGCACAGAATTTATGGTCTGGCAGGAAGAAACTTTTCTGGCTTCCCCACCCCAAGAACAGCCTCTCTGGAATCCCTCCACAGAGGTCAATAAATTTCCTGGGAAGAGGGAAAGTCCCCAGCAAAAAGAGATTAAAAATAAAGAGCTTTTCCAAAGAATCCGCACTTTGACCCTCATCCAAATTTGGATTCTTTGGAAATCAGTCCGGAAAGAGGCTGGTTCACCCAGAGGCGACCGGAATGGATGAATCACGCAGCAGCACAAGGCACCACGATAACCTGCTACGAGGGAAACGTCCTCCCGACCAGCTCCGGGCCCCTCGTCCCACCCAAAGGGATTAAATTGCCCTCCAGTATCTCTATCAGCTCCACGGTGCGTTGGGGATTTGTCCTTTCAGCTCCTCTGGGATTTAGAATCAGAGAATCGCTGAGGTTGGAAAAGACCTTTAAGATGATCGAGTCCCATTGTTAAGCTGAAACTACCAACTGTCCCCCCTACAAACCCCCTCCCTCAGCGTCATGTCTGCGCGTCTTTTAACCCCCCCATGGGGTGGGGACGCGGCCCCTTCCCCGGGCAGCCTGTCCCAGCACCACCAGCCCTCTGGGCCGAGGGGTTTTTCCTTGTCCGATCTAAACCTGCCCAGGCACAACTCGAGGCTGTTTCCTCTCATCCCGTCACCCAGGACAAGAGATCTCGCCCCCCCCACCTGCTCCCCACCCCCTTCCAGGCAGCTGTAGAGCACGAGGGGGTCTCCTCTCAGGCTCCTTTTCTCCCTCAGCCCCTTCTCTTGTTCTCCAGCTCCGTCGCTCTCCTTTGGACACCCCATCCCACCTCAAACCCCGCAGAGCCCTCGGAGCCGGGGCAGATCACAGAATCCTGGGAGGGTTTGGGGTGGGGGGACCCCAAAGCTCCCCCAGCCCACTCCCCGCCCAGGTGCTCAGAGCCCCCTGAACGGCCCCGGGGCATCGCCCGCCGCTCTGGGCAGCCTGTGCCACGGGCTCCCGCCCTCAGCGTGGGGAATTTTCTCCTCAGATCTAGTCTAAATCTCCCTTTTTTTAGCTCAAACCCGTCCCCCTTGTCCCACGGCTCCAGGCCCGGTGAAAAAGTCTCTCTCCGTCCCTCTCAGGAGGGTGGGAAGGTGCAACCGGGTCTCCCCGGAGCTGCCTCCTCTCTGGGCTGAGCACCCCCAGCTCTCGGCCCGTCCTCCCAGGAGGCTGCTCCAGCCCCCGGGGCAGAGTCGGGGCCCCCCCAGCACAGCCCCGTCTCTCCTGTGCTGAGGGACCCCGAGCTGGATGCAGAATTACAGGGTGGGGGGTGTCTCAAGGTGCCTCTTACCTCCCCCAGCTCCCGAATCTTTTTCAGGTAACGCTTCTGGAAGACGGTGGGGTCTGACACCGGGAAGTCGGGGTTCACCGACGTGACGTCTACGAGGTCTGGAAAGGAAAGGGGGTGAGGGGGG